GTCTCGTGCTTGCTGAACTCTCTTCAAGGCAAAGAAACGCATTGGAATCCGCACAACGGGCTTTTGAAAATTGTGTCAATAATTTTCTTCCAACGAGACACTTTATATGGCATTGCATCTTCAAGCACCCCAAGAATCATGCATGAACACTGTCTTGTTTTCAACCGCAGTTGACGTCAAACTCCAATCGTCAGTGTGAGCCGGTTATCATTGTTACTATCTGGAGTTGTGAACACTAGAGTTGATAAGAGTTAATTTAGGATTAGATTCGTTTAGAAATGAGAAAGATGAGAAAGAATCAAACATATTTTTGGAGTGGTTACATTTCGACNCTCTCTCAAGGCCTTTTCAAATCAGGGGACATGTGAGACATTGATAAACTTTGACGGAATTGAGAGACAAGCGATGAACAATTTGGGACAAGTTGTTAATGAGCAAGAGGTTTAAGAGAGACCAGTGACATGTGTGGGGTTTTGAGGTGCGGAAATAATTAGTGATGAATGTGTTGAAATTCAAGGAATAGAGCAATAACCGCGTGCTGAGCCTGAAGTATATGCAGCACACGTATGAATTTCGTGTAACTCACTCTCATCCGCTGTCGAATCTTTTATCTAAAGGACGTGTTTGGATATGGTTTGCATTTTATCCTGTGGATTAAATTCTACTCATCAACTTTTGGTTGCTTATCCTTAATTTCCATCAGTAGATAAGCATAGGTATCTCGAAAAACAAGTCACATGTTTGTGCATTTCAAAATCCATTTAATTTCTTCTGATGCGTCGTGGTAAAATGGTTGGTTTAGCCGTTGTCGGGGTCACATGTGTCTTAACTTTGAGCTCAGCGCTTTCTGAAGATGTGTCATGGATCTCATGTAGAAAAGATAGCCACTATCCATTGTAAGCCAAATCCGTTTAGACCAGTTAAGCTTGTCTTTATTCACCTTCTTGGGAAAGACTGGCCTGCTCTGATTAAGCGATTGACCACCTCCGTATCGTTCACACTTTTGGATTTCTCAGAGTAGTCGAGCGGATGTGTTCTAGTTTGTGGTCGCTTTTGGGATGTTCGATGTCGGCTCACTATCCGACTTGAAAAAGACCTTAGGTGAGGGTCAACATGTCAAGGCAGAAAATGTCTCATTCTTTGCTCTATCTCATAGTGGTTAACCAAAACATTTGCATATATGTTGGATCTTATATTCTGAGCAGGACGCACATTTTACAAAACAGCATATGTTCGGAATGCGTTTTCGATACTGCGGTAACATGCAAATTGCAGTATCAAAACTGTTCTGCATTGCGTTCAAAGGTTTTGACAGTTTGGTCTAAGTGTAGCTGAACACTGCTGGTAGCCTTGTGTACCTGAACGTGTGTGAGCATGTCCGTGCTCTTCCCTTGCATAGAGGATCAAAAAATGAGGATAATATCACATTCTTTACTTTCACTAATGAAGATTTGCCGCAAGGCGATCCCCAAAATTGTTTCGATAACCTTGGGGCGTCCAAACAAATACTTTCAACCGATTTCTGGTTGGTCGAAAGCATTTCCAAATCAGGATATTTCATTCTCTCTAGTGTGCGTGATACTTTTCGCCATTGTATTGCCCATTCAATGAGGCATCAAATGAACACCCGTTCCTTTTCCTGTTAATAACGGAACTCACTCCCGATGATATAAGAATAATGCAAATTCAGGTTCGTTTGATGGCCATTTTGACTCGTCTTTTTGTTAGCCACTCGCATTTCTTAACAAAGACCTTTCTCACTATCATGTGCTCAAAATGAATTTTCCCTTGATGCTAGCTGTCGAATGAAACAGCTTCATACCCGATCCCCGTAGCCAATGAGTAATGGGGTTGTTACTACTAACCTTGTGAAAACCAGGCTTTATCGTTGGCGGTGTAAAAACAACATTGAAAATAAACCGCGGTTTGTCAAAGCAACAATACGACCTAGAGACAGAGTTGAACTACGCACATCGCGTGAATTGTTTGCCATGACGGGATCCGTAATCTAGTCAAACTAAAGCCTGCCCATTGGTTCTTGGAGCGCATGCACTATAGATTTCCCCTTTGTTTTTATCCATCAAAAACCAAACGACTATTACACAGTCTAACTAAAATGATGCCGGTATGACAGCCGACTTCAATTGGAATAAAACATAATAGATTCTGAGTATTCAGACTCATACGCTTGTTTCTTCGATTTTCAACCAATGGAGATGCTCATCTGTGCCTACAGACAAATATTTCGTTTTAAAAGGGTCGCATCGGTTTACGTTGTGGTTAAGCATTTTAGTTGTTCAAGAATGGCGTCCATCCCGAGGCAAGATGATGAATTTCTCTTGTAGAGCGGAAGTTAACTATACACTATACCGTTATGTTGTCACAAACAAAGGTTCGGTATCCCAGGATTGTTACAAACAATGTTTAGTAGTTTGAAGGGCGTCCTGAGCTATTCAATCCAACTAAAACCGAGGAGGTTGATGCTCGAGTTTTCGATTAGCTAAAGGGTTCCCACAACTTGATGTGTTCAATCGCAAATTGCAGTTAATTCCCCATAAGAGCAGCAATGTTCAGCCGGACATACTCTGAGCTGCTTCGGTTGGAGAAATAATTTTAGATTTTTAATCACTATCGAAGTTTGGTGTGACACGGTGGTACTGCTGCCGTATCCACCTGAAGTCCGACTGGAATACCATTTACGAGAATGGCTGCGTACGTCCTACGGGCCTAGAAATGTGCCTCGAATTCGATTATTATGGAATGAGGTTTGGTGTGAGATTTTGTTAGCTAGTGACTGAAATGTTCCAATCTATTGGTAGACCATTCCCGGAGTTTTGGTTAATGCTAAAACGGTCTTACTTGCAGCCCTGTTTGAGGAACTTCTGAAGGACAGATACGGAACAAATGACAATCATCGTATTGCCAATATGTGATTTAGAGATTATGTGATGCTGGTTATTTGGATCTGTGGAGTAACATTCGCTTGTTGACCAGCCTAAACGGAGACCGCAACATGTTAAACCGGATACAAACTTACAAACTTATCATCCAATACGAATTATGCGCCGGAAAACATAATTGCACAGCCAAGCCTGCCTTAGAGGTGCATTCGGTGGATTCCGGTGAAAACAAATGAAAACCTGTCTTTGCAGTCAGCTTACGTGCAACTGGGTTGATTAAATATGATTCTCTAAGAGCTGCATGAGTGCTATCATTGTTTCCTTGTAACCCAGCTGACAGAGCTTAACCCGGTCATACGTAAACCGGTTAGCCGGGAACCTCGAGTAATTCTGAGTCGCTCGAGCGTTCCCTTTTGAAAGGTACGTCCAGAAAACAGCACAAGCCATTGCGGAAACTGAATGAAAATTTTCAATTTCTGGTAACATCGAGATTTCGATTTCTGGTCTTCCTAGCGTTGAACTGTTTCTCACTGCAACGGTTGAGGTGCGCTACTGGAGCGGATTCCAGTCAAGTTGCTGTTATGCTCACTGGGATTCTCAAGATAAGTCAAAGCAAGTAGTCATCACACCTTCAGACAAAATTGGTTTGCCATCTGGCATTTGCATCCAGAGAGTGAGAATGGGATATAATTTACCGGACCGAAACTGAGAGATGAAGTCAAACAAACACCTTGATACCCCTGGTTATCAATGTGGTCATTGTACATTCTCCCTGTCAGTCTCAGAATGAACGGGCAGTTATTGGCCACCAGGGAGTGAATTGGAGTTACTTTGAACAACGGTACTAGTCTATGTTATGTGAAAAGAAGAATTTTCAAAGAATTGGTATGGAATACAGCCTCAGAGCAAATAGTTTGCAGAAATTCCGCAGATATGCTACACCCGACCCTACCAGTATCCGTTTGTACACCAGCTTGTTGTAAGTGACCTGCTCCTACCGATCCACAGTTAGTAAAAACAATAAATCGATGAGGAAAATAGTCAAAATGTTTGAGCAATTATGGTCGACAATGCCACATTAAACATCATGCATGTTTTTCAACCCACGCACTACCATAGCAAAACTGGACATTGTGAAGATGAAACAGAGACTTGGCAACACTGAATTCGGCAGTCGGAAGGATTTTGTGCGTCGAATTACCTCAAATGCCTTACGGAGGTCCTCCAAATTCAGAGCTTTTGTCGGAAAAAACAGATGAACAGTTCGAGTTTGAGAATGCTCGGCTGTCCAACAGGAAAAATGACCAAGACATTCTGGATTAAATTGGTGCACTCAGTATTGTACACACACAAGATGCGAACATGTCGCAGTACTTTTCCATCAATAATCCATAATGTAACAAGAAGGCATGATTATTCTGTTCTCAATGAGGTGCTTCGTGTTGTCTCATCCAATTTATCTTTACTCATTCCGTTCTTCCCTCTGTCACAATTCCAGGCGCACCACAGCTGATCTTGAGGACTCTTACTCGAAGATGAATAATATGACAAACCACATCTGTTCTGATTTGCACGTCCAATACTACTAACAAATTAACGTACTGAAACTGTGTGCACATGGTCGCTTCTGCAATCGAAAGTAGTTGCATTTGAGCACAACAGATTCGTATCATAATATTTGGACAAATATCTTTTCCTTGCATCAATCCTATTTAAATATCATCGAACAGTCGGATTCCGCAATCATTCACTCCCATAGGAGAACTGTAAATGAGTTCTGTCTATATAATCAATCATTGTTCGTTGTCCGCTTTGGAAGCAGTTGCGTGGACCTTCGTACTTCAATTCTATTCGATAACACGAGATGCAATGGTTTATTCAACGAAGCAAACTATTCACCAAACAAATTCGTTCTACATTGTTTATTTTCTTCCGAATGCAATCGTTTTGTGTGATATGGTCATTCGAATTATAGTTATTCTACACGCGCAACATAGAACAATGAAAACCGCCTCCGGAGATTATTAAGAACAACGGAGGATTGCAATGATATTTATTGCTTCACATTACGCTCAACACAGGTCAGCATTTGGGATCGATTTAGAGGAAACTGAACCATGGTTGGCCGTGGGTATACAGACCCTTGAAGATATCATGTTTGCTGGCAACCTGCTTTTTTGGAGTTCGAACACACCCACCTGGCACCTTGGAGATGGCTTTTTCTACAATATCTGGTACTTGTTGTGTGAGTGCATCGTCCGGGAAATAACAAGAATACTTGGCACATTCCGTCCGAGTATTGTTGTCGATGGGGAAATTCCACAACTCCTGCCACGGTATCACATTATGCTCGGTCTCACTGCACATTTTGGTCAGCCAAAAGTTAACTTTCTTTTCTTCTGAATTGAGGGAGTTTCTGTTATGGAATGTTTCATGCCACAAATTAACCAGAAGTCCTTCACCGAACAGCATTCCAAGCCAGTTGTAATAGCCCAAGTTTACACCATTGTAATCTGTTCCCTTCCAAATATCAATAACTTGTTTAACTTCGTGCCAGCCAAACGCCCAAGAAACATTGAAACCGTAGGCGGTCAGATTGACCAAATGTCCACGAACTATAAAATGATATACATTGTTGGTCACTTCGGTTCCCCATTTGAGAGTCGCAGCCCAGTTTTGCAAATTGTGACCGAATTCGTGTGTTATACCAATGTTAGATGTTTTCTTTATGTCTTTTATATCCGTCGACGAGTCTTGCCATGGGAGGTGTCCCAAGACAGGCATACCCGAGTGTCCCCAACCGGCTGCTATTTGAATATCAACGGCAAATACTTCGATTCCAGCAGTTGTCCAGTCTGATCCACGAAAGTTGTGCATGATCTTCACCACGTTATCCATATAGGTTTGCAAAAATACCATATCATCTTTGTTCAGTTTCACAACAGCTTTAGTTTGAAGACATGAAAATACGATGTCTCCGAAGAACATCGTCCACGGGACAAGGTTGTGACGTAAACGCTCATTATCCCAATCATCAATAGCTGATTGGTTTCGTAAATCAAACCATGGATGTCGGTACACGTCTTCCAATTCCAGAGTGATACCAATATTATCTGCGTCTATGCGCATGAGAAGTATACCACCAGTTGGTGTAGCATAACTGCCCTCCGATCGGAGTTGCAGAGCATGTTTGATTACCGGCCATCGTTTCCAAGGATTCACTTTACTGATGTCATCCGATTGACAGCTGAATGTGAAAAAGAATTTGTCAACTTTGTCAGTAGAATTTTTGACACGCCATTTGAACACTTCTCCGGGGTTGACGTATGCACCTGTTGGGAGGTAGAAGCCCTTCTTTGGAGGCTGTACATGAAATGTGTAGCTGGTTCTCTCAGTTTTGGGGGCTGATCCGGGGTAGANGGTTTAATAAAGTCGTGTAACTGAATATAGGCGCTCTGCTGCAGATAACTGCAAAGTTGTTCAGAGCTTCACGCAGAACAAATAATTGAGACACATAACTTGCCGAGTATATGAGACTGGTTAAGTCAACTTTCGCGTCTTGAACATAGCCGTATATACTGTAGTAAATTTGGATGTTCAATGCTCTCATAAGGTCCAGAGTGTTGTGTTGTCCAAGTGTACCCAAAGTACCCAAGTATGATATGACCACTCCATTCACTCCCTCCATAACTGCTTTGGCAAGTTTAGTTACATTAAAGTGCATGCTGCGTTTGACAAGAACGATATCTCCCGGTTTGTAGTCCTCATTTGCCCAACGAAATTCCGGATGGTCACCTTGTCCCAAAAAGTTCTTCAAATTCACTGAGAAGTTTGCCAAATAGGGGGCTGTGAACAGCTCACGCATCCATCTCTCTCCAATCATAGCAACCGCACGCCCTTTTCCACGAGTTACAGCCATTCCCATGATATGCCCGTGACCGGATCCGAGAACAACATCTCTAACTGGTCGTTTTTCTCCAACCTCACAAAAGATGCCTCGTACCACAATTCCTTGACACCTTGACCAACGGCCTTACGAAATCTCTGGAAAAGTTTGAAATGAGCGACAGGTTTATCAGTTACCAGTATGATGATAATTTATGGAATATCACCTGAAAATTGCATCGATAAACGCCTTGATAATAAACAATATTCTTCTGTCTTGGTTCTAATCGAAGTCAACATAATTGCTTAATTCAATGCTGTTTTCTGAATATGTACAATTCAATATGTATCTCAAGGTACTGACCAATCCGTATCCAGTCAACTTGTGGCCCAACTAATGCCTGAGCATGAATTTGCAATCACGTGCAATTATGGATTTGATCACAATTTTGTTCAAACATGGTCAACGGAAGTGATACCAAAATGGGAAAGGGGATGAAAGAACATACCATGTATCGATCTTCCTCACCCCACTCGGGTTCCGGTGTGATTTGTTTATCTCCGATTCGATTTCCCCAAATTCCAACCTCGGAGACCGTTTGTCCCTTGACAATTTCTGTGCCATCTGGAGATCCGCGTGCTATCATTACGTATTGTGCCAATGATGCGTCAGGATTGCATCTGAATCTTTCCGTATAGCCCCAAATATCGAGCCTGGCATTCTTTTTACATAATTTCCAACCATCAAGCGACATAGCTTTCCTGCATTTAGACCAGTGTTTCTCTCTAGTATAGATGTCGAAGTTTTGTTTTGTCCCTGAGTCGTCTGAAGGGAGGTGAAAGCGAGCGTTTAGATTGTCAACCTGCTACTTTAAAACACTGAATCCAGCATTCGTTCATTCATGCAATAATTCATTCATCTCACGAGGAGAACATGTTTACAGAACACTCACTTCGCACAGAGCTTTGTCTATACACACACACACACACACACACACACATGAGTGAAATCAGATTTGATGAAGATATGTCTTCGATAGTAGTCATTTTCGCTCCGATGGAACTGTTGCACTCACTATTAGCACAACACTGGAACGATTGATTTTGCTCTTGGTATATTTCCTCGAGCTCTGCACGAAATCACTGTGTTGAACACTGGTGCCATGAAGAGCAACTTGCAAACAGTAAGAAACTCACGGAAAGAAAAAATAATTGGTACCCGTGTTTGTACCGACAGTGAGTTTATCTATAGTTTTGCATATTTATGTCAGTGCAAAGCAGTGTAATGAAAGCATAAATAAAGTGCAAATGCTAAATGAAGATCCTTTGTACTGATGATACCGTTTACTATGAGAATGCTTGAGTTCAACTGAAAAACAGCGAATTCAGAAATACATCGACTTTAAAATAAATAAACTTACATCCGTCGGCCATGAGTCTAGACACAATCAGAATTGATGTGATGTTGTATACGCCAGGCAGTTCAGCCAATATATAGGGGAACGTTCCATTCGAAGGCACGTGTGATGTCAGGAGGTTATTATCTTCGATTTCTATGTTGTCCCCCCAATCCACTCCAGATATTCGACTTTCACCAGCTGGATTGGATGGATCCCATGGCAGTGGTCTGTCTAAAATCAATTTTGAGTGAACAACCACATGTAATGGTTAATATGCACTCCGTATGTGCGACATACAATTTTGTGAACTATAGGATATATCAAGAAAATGATGATGCATTTAAGACATGATCAAGATCAAGATCACTATCCGAATGGCTAATATGAAGCAATCAAATGTAATAGCCAAGCATGTGATTACTATGCATGATGCTCCATGTTGATGTGAGAGCGTTGTGTTCGTCCGCCGCTACCAGAATGAGGTAGAGCTCAACTTTTGTCGTAATGAATGACAGGAATTTAGTCTTACAATTTAGTCTGTAAAATGAAACCATCAGCACGTACAAACATTTCAATACAGACAGTAAAACCATCAGTGGGTGCTACGAACTTCCATTTGAATAATAACCATAAGTCGTAACGGAACGTGTAATTCACAAAACAATATTTTGCACATCAGCACGAGAAAACTATTCTACAAAATCATTATGATAAACAACTGAACCATAAAATGTATTCGTGGTTCTCGCCATGACTTACAGTTTTTTTCAACCACACGTATGCTTTGCACATTGTGCAGCGAAAGCAGTACGAGAAGCCAAACACCGATGTACCCACCGATGCTCATGGTGCTTTTCGATACAATGCCAAGAAAATATGAGGTATTTATACGCATTGAAAGGAATGGACGACCGGTGACAACCAATTAGAGGAGAACATTATTGCCCGTTTTTTTTAATAAACAGTATACTAAATTGAGGATAGATTAAACGTCGGGTTTTTGTAGGAAAATCCAAATCGATTTGATGTCAACGTGTGTTTCGAAACACCTACAAATCATGTACAAGATAAGTGCCTTTATTGGAGGACAGGTTGCATGTTGCATGAAGGGTGGTGGTTAGTTAACTGAGATGTGCACGCAATTCTCAACATTTTTCTACAATGACCCAAATAATTGAGTGACTGAAAATACCGCTCGAGATGGGTTTTATGTGGACTTTTACTTAGCATTACAAAGACCACAAATTTTGGTGATTCCGCATACGTCCGATGAGAAAAGAGGAAAACAATGTAAGATGGTTTTGGCTAATGTGTTCTGAATGTGAACAGATTCCGCTGAATGAGTCTTACAATGGATTACTCAATCAGTATTTGCTCCATGGTTTCCAAGCGGTATCAAACCGAAGTGTTCCCATTTTTTACATGAATGTCAAACGCCATAATTCAAAATGGGATTGGAAAATGCTTAGCGGTGTTGATTCAGAATGCCATTTATGGTGCTAGGTCGCATTCAAATATCACATTTCACATGAAAAACGTCATAGAATTTTGGTGAGAAACCGGTTGGGGTTTTTTCCAGTGAACGCTCGAAAGCCAGTCGGACAGGAGAACAGGACATTTCGATTGTTGGTATCAAAGATTCCTATTGCTAGCACAACTCCAAGCAAGGAGGGAAGAACATTTGTTCACAGAATTTATCCGGAGCTGTTTCGCTGCACCGGTACAGTTGCGTGCAGCTGCGCATTGAAACAAGAAATTACTTCAAGGTCAGAGGAATATTGCAGGCGTTCGTTCGCCAATCAAACCGTTTAATATCAGTGTTGAATGAAATGTGCACTAAATGGTGTGGCAATCGAAGATCTGATGGGTTCTATCCGGATCCGGAACTCACGGAAATGAGAACGAAGAAGATGTGTGGATGGGTACCCCCTAATGTTGAGAGTTCTATAATGATTTTTGTTCTCATTCGCAATTCAGCAAAATGTGTACACTTGCCACGAGGATTGGCTTAGCATCCTAGCTGTATCGGTCGTTGAACTCCATGAAGCTGTTTACTTTCTATTTTCAAGGGCAGAATACAAGGTGTTGGAGTAAGCATTGATCAAAGCCTGTGTTGGCTAATAGTCATGTCAGAGCGCTGTTTGTAAACAATTCTATCGCTAGTAATCAGAAGACATACGCCGGCTTGTGTCATTTGAAAAGGAATTGAGGGAAAAGAATTGAATAGCATCCACTGACAGTAGGCAACTGTGTGCAAATTCGGCAACGAGGGAAAATATTTTATACAATCAATTGATATTCTGTAAAGTGTGGAGTACAGTCTGAACCGGAAGACTGTATAGAGTAGTAGACTGGTAGCTTATTGGCACAGCAGATGGAACAGTAATGCGTAGTAGAAGAAGAACGAGGGGGCAAGAAACGATTGAAAACTGGACGGGAATTGGCAATATTTGACTGTATACATACGTACATCAATCAACAGCGTTTCTGGGATTCGAAGGGCTGCGAATTAGGCGGACAGTTTGTAGTCTGTAAAAAATTAAACGAGCAAAGAAAAGAGAAAATCAAAGAAGATTCATATCAGGACGTGTCTGCATCCCGGTCGACAGGGCAAAACACGTAGAATTAACTAGATAAAAGAACCTTGAGTTATTGTTCCTAATACCGATGATTGGATGACCTAACAAACAATTAAGCGATCACCGGGAATCCCAGATTCATTTCGAAGAAAAAATTAGTCCCAAATAGTTTTCCTTTTCCCGAAACAACTGGTTTATTAGTTGAGCAATAATAAATGTATTTATTGGTATTCATTACGACGTATTTGCATGTTTACGAATCACTGAAAACGAGCTTATTCGCCACACGCGCCCACACGTACTAAGTTATGTCAGTGGCACAGGCATGGGGTACCTTGGACGTTTGATCCCGTCAAACGGGCCTATGATGCAATGAACCGGACACCGAGCACCAGTCAGTCTTTGCTTAGTCAAAGGCTCAGGTTGTGATTCCCGCAAGAAAATTCCCCTGCCTTGGTCTGGGAAACATGGTAGTATTACTCCCACAAACAGATAATGGAACTTTCGCATTTTATCAAGATCACTGTACTTTATTGTGTTCGGTGCACAGTCTGAATTCAGCTGCGTTTGAAATACAAGAATAACTATTTGGTTGTCGTACGGACGAAACAAATGAGACAAATGGTGATAAGGTTCGGTTGCATTCGATGACGTTATCAATAAGTGATCGATATAGAAATGAAGGTCATCCGGGTCCCATATGACGCTATCAGTACATCTTTGGAATATCTGAGCAGCGTTTGGCAAACAAAAAGGCACACAGCTTCTCAAAACGTCCGGAGGAAGTTATGACAGCACTCATTTTGACATCTTCAGTGGTGACTGCGTTTTGGTGCTATGCACGAACCTAATCAATATTGGAATTACCAGTCGTACCATGAAGTTATGCTGTGATGTCGTGTATTTCACGAATGGGATACATATCGAAACATATCGGTGTCGTTACATGGCTTCCATGTATTGCGGCCTTTATTAAGAAAAATGTACTACGTAGA